TTCCTTTTTTAAGGTCTAGATACCACTTTTAGTCTTTTTCACCTACTTATTTGAAGATTTTTTGACACATCTGAAATAAACGTGACACCACTGTATAACTATTCATTGTAGCAATGTACACAGACAGTGATCATCCCCAAACTATTTGCCACAGAATTATACTTCACTTTCCTTTCCCAACCATATGTAATCTCTCTTTAAGACTGTTGAAACACTGTATAGCTATCTGTTTATTTTTAACAATAAAAGTCTAATCATTTTCATGTTAAGGCTGAATAAACTCAGGGCTTTAGACATGGCATAACTTTCTGAGATCCTAGGAAATATCTTTGACAGAGCATGAATAAGGCAGAAAGAATGACAATTTATCTACTCTGCTTATCAAACTGAGACTAGATGATAGGCACAGGGCAATAGTATATATGCCTATCAAAATTAAGATTAGGAGGGACTGGAGAGAAAGGTGTCAAGAGAAGGTAACAAGGCTGAAATAGGAAGATCAATATTTGCTGCAATTATACTGAGAACTAGATTAGGTAACTTGTTTGGAATTTCAAATCTTCTGACTTTTCTTGTGAAAAACAGGAAGTTGAGCATAGGACAGATAAGTGGGAAACCATTTTGAATTCTCTACCACAATCTTCCAGGGGAAAATGCCTATTAATTGTTAGTAATGGGAAAGGAGATATTATTTCCTTAAATGTCTATTTTAAACTTTTTGGAATTAACTAATCTTAATTATTCCAAATTATCAATTTGCTTACATTTATAATAATCCCATATCATAAGGCTCTATTCTTCATTCTATAGTAGAGAGCAATAACAGGCTGTCAAATGAGTTGTAGAACCCAGTTATAGCCAAAGTGGATTTAAATGGACACAGTCAAAACATGATTATCATTGAAATAATATGAACTAGCTCTAAGTCAAAATGGCTGTGAATAATCTATATTGAATTTTAGTGTACTTCAAGCCCTGGAAATAGGGTAACCCCACAAAATGTTAACAGTAGCCAAAAAATAAGATAATGGTTAATTTAAAAATGTTCTTTTTGATTTTTTTGTATTTTCCATAAGTATTTTCAATCTGAATATAAAAGAGGAAAAACTTAAAAAACTAACTTTACTCAAATGGCAAGGATTTCTCTGAATTATGTCCTTTCAGAATTGTTATGTTACCCACTATTCTTAAAATAATTCTTGGCTTGTTTAAAATACTCTTTTCTAAATGACCCCAAAACAAGTTCTCAAGGGAACTTGAAAGTAAAACCTTTCAAATTGAAGGTTTTCAAGAAAGCTGAACTTGAGATTCTAGGGTACTTTTGCCTTTATTAATTCTAAGAAGAAACTGTGAGAGGGCGAGCACCACATCTAAAGGAGGGTGTGAACACATCTAGAGGAGGATGATTATCTTAATCATTGTGAAGGAAGAAATAAAACTCAAAAACATAAAGAATAAGAATACAATATTGATTCTAATTGTTAATATGCCACTTTCATTTTCATTTCTCTACTTTTATCTTTCAAATTCACTCTCTTCTGAAGGCAGATTTAGGTTTTTTAGGTTACTGACCTCCTATTATTCATACTATCATTTGAATCTTGCCTTTTTTATATTCTCTTCTTTCTTTTGTTTTATTTTAAACTGTTTCTACTTATTTGTGATTTCCTTAGTCATTTTATTACTGTCTTGATTTTTCAACCCACATACCTTAAAGCAAGTGATCTTCCAACTGGTTTGGAGTTTTATCCCACATGTTTCTGAAGGATACTGGCTAATGCTTAGTGATCCAGAGCAAGTTAGCAACCTCTTTACACCTAGAGGGTTAGCAATGCTCACGAGTGCCACTGGTTATTACTGGAAAGCCTAAGGCAAAGGCAGAGGAGAAGAAAAAAAAGGGAGAATAAAGGGAGTGGGGAGTAAAGGAAGCCGGCAGAAAGAAGGAGGTACTTGAAGTAGAGAGTGGTAGTGAACCACAACAATTGCCTCAGGATATTCTTTACCAAAATACTGCCTGGGGTGGTATTCTAACACAGAAAGGAGGGATAGATGCATTTACCTTCAAAGAAATGAAAATCTTCTCAACTGCTGAATATGGTAAAAAGGATTTTTAGGATTCATAGAGTTTATCTCCCTGAATTACAAAGTTGAGGAGGTGTATGTAAAGTGAAAAATTCATCATGTTTGTAAGACCGTGCCTCTTTGCAAAACACACTAGCTATTCCTACTTTGAGATTTTTCTTTTAATTTTTGATACAGAGGTTCACTTGGTTGACCAGGCTAGAGTGCCATGGTGTCAGGCTACCTCCCGGCAACCCTAAACTCCTGAGCTCAAGGGATCCTTCTGCTTTGGCCTTCTAGAGTGCTAGGATTACAGTCATGAGCCACCATGCCAGACTCCTACTTTGAGATTTAACCAAAATCCACAAAGATTATTTGTTATGTGTTTACATGTTATATATCTTAGAGAAGTAGCAACTCTTTGCAAGAAAGAAATAATGTGAATCAGCTGTATGGTAGATAATTTCTTAGACTTTTTATAATAAGAGATGTCATTTTATAGATTTTTAAAAATGAAATAACTAAAAAAAAGCACCATTCTAAAATGAAAGAATAAATAAGATACTACATGGTAATTTTACATAATCTTGTTCACAGGCTGCTCAGCAGGCTCTTTTATGGACATGTAGGCTAATTTTTTTTGGCAGTAAGAAAAGCTAACAACAATGGTTTCTTTTCACTGAGCTGTTGCTATCTCATGTAAAAATCACAGAACATTGGTTTGGGAATAATTCAGCCTCTACTTCTCTCCTACTTTATATTACTAAGAATATTTAAAAAAATAGCCTTCCTTGTCTCTGGTATTTTCAGTTGTTCTATATTGGAAGAATTCTTTGTCATTTTATAGAATTCCTGCATGACTACAAATTATGTGATCAAAACAGAATTTATTTTTTAGATGGATAATAATAAGAAGAAGAGCCAATGAGGCCATTGGAAGAATAACATCATTTTCTTTCTGGACAATATTTATTCAAACAAACATTGTAGAGGGAATCAATTTGGAAGAAAAAAAACATAAAGAGTAATTGGGGATTGCTATTTGTGTTTTAGCTTTGCCAATTTCATAAGTACTCTAGTCTAATAATATCATTCTGAATGAGGTGAATGAACCCAAGATAGTCTTCTAAGAAAAAATACATTAATGAAAATTAAAATGTAAGATCAGTTGCCCCATCATTTTATTTACAGAGAATATTAGAGTAACAATTCAGATAAATGTTACCATTTTCATAGATGTTCTAAGGAAAATATTTACAACAATAATGAGAATAACAGCAGTTACTATAAATAAATAAAAAAATTATTGAGGTCTGTTGGGGTGAATATTGCAATTTTACAGATGAGAGCCTCAAAATTTAAGTTATTTGCTCAAAGTTACACAGATGAAACTGGTACTAGAACCAAGATCACTTCAACTTTGCTCAAAGCCCACAACTTTAACCATTTGCTATAATGTCTCCAACATAAAAAAATACATTAAGAGATGGTATTGGAATATGGAGGAGATAAACAAATGTATTTAATTAAAAGAAAAAGGAAATTCAGGTTTAATGTCCCTTATCCAAAATGCTTGGGACCAGAAGTGTTGTGGATTTTGAATTTTTCTATTTTGGAATATTTGCATATACATAATGTTTTAGGGATAAGGCTTAAGTCTAAATACGAAATTTATTTATGTTTCATATATACTTTGCACACATAGCCTGAAGGCAATTTTACATAATATTTTAAATAATTTTGTACATGAAACAAAGTTTTGACTGTTTAGACTGTGACTTATACACAAAGTCGACCTTGAAATTTTCCACTTGTAGCATTATGTCAGTGCTCAAAAGTTTCAGAATCAGAAATTTTGCATTTTGTATTGGAGTAAGGATGCTCAACCAACATTTTAATGGCCAGATGTAATTAAAAAAGAAAAAACAAAAACAAAAGCAAGTAAGAGACTCCACAACTGACCATTAAAAAGGAATTGGCATTCTCAATAGCTCTGATAAACTGAAAAATGTTTTTTAGACATTTCTTCAAAGATATCAGCCTGAGTTAATAACCAACAACATTAATAACAATGTATTGGGGTTTGAAAATCCCAAAGAGAGAAGATTTTAAATTTTCTCACCACAAAAAATGAGAAATATGTGAGGTAAAGCATACATTAATTAGCTCAATGGAACCATTCCACAATGTGTACATACATATTTCAAAGATCACAGGCACATATAAAAACAAAAAACAGTAACAGTTTCTAGTAATTCAGTTAAATTTTCATTTTGGGTTCTCAGAGTGGACTTTAAGCAGGCAGATGCTACGTGGCATTTGCTTTTACAACCAATGTAATTTCAGACTCTTTGAGGGGTGAGCTGCTGATACTATCCGGGACACTTGAAACATGGCGCCTTTCAGTGAATTAAAGGTTTCCCCTATGCTTGCTTTTCATGAAGCTTTTCGGTGACCTTTAAAGCAGGAGAACAGAGTGTCTCACTTTATTGCTGGGATGGGAATCTGCTCTGCTCTTTTTTCTATTAAAGATATGTTCAGTTGATGTGTCATGAAAACATCATGTAGATGTTTTCAAGTAGAAAACTTTTGGAAAATTTCCACACCATAACTGTCTATTGTCTGACGTGAGTAGGGCCCAAAAGAATAAATAAATTAATACAATAAAAAAATAGTACATTGTTTTTATTTGATACCTATATATTTATTTGTAAGTAAGAATTTTCATGTAACTGTAAGTACTTTAACTGAAGAGTTTTTATCAAGATTGTGCCAGAAAATATCAAGACTTAAATCTATCTGGTTATCTGTGAATAAAGTTGTTCTTACAACTGTGGGGAAATAGATCTAACAGTTACTAGGTGCCTGTGTCTGCTTTCAAAAATTTGAAAGTAATACAATCTGAGTCTGTTGATACTCAAAAAATTCAAAATATTTACCTCGGACAGCATAGCCATCTTTTACTGAAGCTGGAAAGGGGGGTAGGTTGTCTTTTGCATATACATCTTGAGCAAGGACTCGCCCCATTCCATCTGAAGGAAAAGAAAAGAAGAAAAAATATAAATATTGGGAACAATGGGGTGAGCAAACAGTTATAAACAAGATGGGTAGAGTGCTTCTCTGACCCAGCTTGTAAGTGAGCTCAGTCAGACCTCCTGATATTTTTCCCAAGAATAGGAGACAGAATGAAGAGATCTATCATGGTGTCTGAAATAAAAGATTATATTCAGTAAATTCTTCGTAATGCTTGGAGAGATTATTTGAATATGAGTTGTTACACAGTCATTAAAGATATGTTCAGTTGATGTGTGATTAATCCTTTAATATTACAAAATATAATTTTCTTTTTCTTAAATTTTATTCATTTATTCGAGACAGTCTCATTCTGTCACTCTGGGCAGAGTGCTATAGCCCTGTAGCTCACAGCAACCTCAAACTCTTGGGCTCAAGAAATTCTCTTGCCTCAGACTCAGCCTCTGGAGTAACTGGGACTGTAGGCATGCACCATCATGCCTGGCTAGTTTTTTTTTCTTTTTTCTACTTTCAGTAGAGATGGAGTCTTGCTCTTGCTCAGGCTGGTATTGAACTCGTAAGCTCAGGTGATCCAGCTGCCTCAGTCCCATAGAGTGCTAGGATTGGGCATGAGCCACTGTGCCCAGCCTATACTTTTCTTTTTCTTTTTTTTTTTTTTTTTTGAGACAGAGCCTCAAGCTGTCCCCCTGGGTAGAGTGCCGTGGCATTACAGCTCACAGCAACCTCCAACTCCTTAAACATTTTCTTATCTACTGACCTAATAGTTTCACTTTTAGAAATGTGTCTCAGGAAAATGGGTAAATCTTTATGCACATGTTTATTTCAGAGTTGATTACCTTAGTAAAGAATGAAAAGACTCAAAGGATCAATAATATATTTAAATAAATAATGATCTATTCCTAGGATGAAATGTTACGTAGGCTAAAATAATATTTATGAAGAATATTCATTAACATAGGAAAATTCTTTGATATATATTCTTAAAACATACAAATTGCATATGCACTGTATAATCTTAATTATGTTAAGATGTATGTGTATATATTAATAGAAAAAGGAAAGAAAATAAATGAAGATATAAAGCAGTTGTTATTTTAGAATTTAAAATTATTCATGATTTTTATTCTCTTAGCTATAGACTTTTCTGAATATTTCCAAGTTTTCTAAATGAGCACATCATTTTTATTGTCATAAAATTTATTTTTTCTCTGAAAAAGAGAAATGTAAAAAACAAGAAGTACTTTTCCAATCATTCCATAAGAATGTTAGCCTTTGAGTTTGGTTTCATTAACTTCAGTGATTTGGTGCCTTTACTAATGCACTAGTAACCTTTCATGTGACATCAGTACTTAAACTACTCTGGATGACAATCACTTTTGGCTCAGAAATTTGAACCAGTGCCAGCAAGAATAAAAGTTTTAAGAGTCATGAGCAATTCCTTAAATCCTCTAGTCAAGAGGCCTGTCTTTATTATTAATTTTTAAAAAGAAAAAGAATAATAAATAGAAGGTGAAAAAAGAGAAAGAGGAGAAAGGAAAAAAAATCAAGCCAGTAAAGTAATACAAGACTTGACTTGTGTATCATAAGGTATTTGGATAACTTAGAAAATTTCATTATTTCCAGAGATGGATAAGTGAGTCTGTATTTTTGGGCTTTGACCTTCTCACCTACTTATTTCCAGATCCTAGGACCTAAAAGTAAATATAAGAGATATTAAATTTTGTACTTTGATCCATAGCCATAGTGATACTGAATTTTTCCTTTTGACAGATGAACTTGAAGGGACAACTCAGGAGATTTCAGCTTCAGACACTTCCAGGAGGCTGAAGCTATTTTAGAGCTATCCTGGACTGCTTTGTAAAACAAGGGAAGTGGTGGGACTAGAGGGTCTAGTTTGTATTTGTATATACAACTTGAATTCACAAATGAACCTGAGGTATAAGGTAATCACTGGTAGGGAGGCCCATGGTACCTGGGATTACAATAAACCTCCCAGGATGGTTCCTTATCTGGAATTAATTTGCCTGGGGTGGCAGATCAAACTAAAGTTCTATACCAGCTTAGATAACTTTTTTTGGATTTTGAATAGTTCACTAATTGTGATTAATAATCCAAGACTGCACAAGAGATGAGTTTTTCTGGGAACTCAAAATGCTTTTACTAGCTTGTGCTTCCCGAGGAGTCCTTCTTTTTCTTTCATTGAGACATACATAGCCTTACTCTGCTGCCCTGGGTAGGGTGCCATGGCATCATCATAATTCACAGCAACCTTAATTTCTTGGGTTCAGGTGATCCTCGTGGCTCAGCCTTGTGTGTAGCTGGGACTATAGGTACCCGCCCCTATGCCTGGCTAGTTTTTCTATTTTTTTTTTTTTAATCGAGATAGAGCCTCATTCTTGCTCATGCTGGTCTTGAACTCCTAAGCTCAAGCAATCCACCTGCCTTGGCCTCCCAGAGTGCCAGGATTACAGGTGTGAGCCACTGCATCTGGCCTTAATATCAGTTCTTAAAAGGCAAGGAAGGCTGGAGAGGTGGCTCACACCTGCAATCCTAGCACTCTGGGAGGCTGAGGTGGGTGGATAGCTTGAGCTCAGGAGTTTGAAACAGCCTGAGCAAGAGCCAGACCCTGTGTCTAAAATAAACAGCTGGGCATTGTGGTGAGTACTGGTAGTCCCAGTTACTTGGGAAGCCGAGGCAAGAGGATTGCTTGAGTCCAAGAGTTTGAGGATGCTGTGAGTTATAATGTCAGGGCACTCTACCCAGGGTGACAAAGGGAGATTCAGTCTCCCCACCTCCAAAATAGTTACAGTAATCAAAGCAGTGTGATATTGGTATAAACAGACATGTAGATCAATGGAACAGAATAGAGAGCCCAGAAATAAACTGTTTTCATATATGGCCAGTGTACCAAGAACACTCAATAGGGAAAGGACAGTTGCCTCAACAAGTGTTGGGAGAACTGGATACCTACATGTGAAAAAGTGAAGTTGGACTCTTACATTACACCACATACAAAAATTAGCTCAAAATGTATTAAAGACCTAAGTATAAGACATAAAACTATAAAACTTCTATAAGAAAATAGGAAAAAAAGTTTATTCAACTTGGCAATGATTTCTTGGATATGATACCAAACTACAGGTAACTAAAGCAAAAATAAACAAATGGGACTACTTCCAACTTAAATGTTTTATGCATCAAAGAATGTAATCAATAGAGTAAAAAGGCACCCATGAAATGGTAAGAAAGTAATTGCAAATCATATATCTGATAAGGGATTAATATCTGGAAGATACAAAGTATCCCAAAAGTCACCATATATAAAGAAAATGGGAAACTATAGCTTTATAAAATATTCATTACAAAATACTTACCTGTTGGCTATCTCTTTGTAAAATTTCATAATGAATATTTTGTAAAAGAAGATACACTTAACTACAATTTCCCATTTTCCCCATGTATGGAAACTTTTAGGACATCCTATATATAAAACTCTTATAATTTAATATGAAGAAAACAAATGACATGATTAAAAAATGGGCAAAGAACTTGTATAGACATTTCTCCAAAGATAATACATAACTAGCCAAGAAGAAGATGAAAAGATGTTCAACATCAATAAATCATTAGAGAAATGTAAATCGCAAACACAGTGAGATATCACTTCATACCCAAGGATGGCTATTCTTAATAAATAAATAAAAAGAGAAAAGGTTTTAGTAAAAATGGGAGAAACTGAAACCCCTGTGCACTGTTGGTGGTATTGTAAAACAGTGTAACCAATATGGAAAATACTACGGCATTTCCTCAAAAAATTAAAAATATAACTACCCTATGAACCAGTAATCTTAGTTCTGGGTATATATTCTGAAGAATTGAAAGCAGAGTCTTGAAAAGGTATTTGTACACCCTAATTCATAGAAGTTATATTCATAATAGCCAAGAGGTGGAAGCAAATCACATGTCTGTTGATGGATAAATGGGTAAGTAGTCAAATTGTGGTTATGGGTGCTAGCGGGAGGCGCAAAAGGGGAATTGCTTAATGGGTATAGAATGTTGGATTTGTAGGATGAAAAAGTTCTAAAGGTCTGTTTCAAAATGTGAGTATACTTAACACCACTGAAATTAAAAATGATTAAGATGGTAAACTGTGTTGTGTTATTGCCATAATAACTTTTAAAAAAAGGAATGGAGCACTGATATACGCTGCAACAAGGATGAACCTTAAAAACATTTTGCTAAGTATAAGAAGCCAATTACGAAAACCCATATATAATCTAAATTATATGAAATGTCCTTGATAAGCAAATCATTCTTCTATCTAGCGATAGAAAGAAGACTAGTAGTTACTCAGAGTTGAATGGGGGGCGGAAAAGATAGGAGAATGAAGGGACAGGCAGATGATAGCTGTAAGGGATGAGGATTCTTTCTGAGGTGATGAAAATGTTCTAAATATGGTGATGGTTGCACGTATCTGTGAACATACTAAAAACACTGGATTGAACAAGTTAAACAAGTGAATTATATTGTATATGAATTGTATGTTGATAAAGATTTTTTTAAATAGCAAGGACAATAGTTTTTTAAAAAGAAGAGTATTTCTCTCATCTCAGCATTATCTATATTTAGTAAAGTTATATTTGTAGCATACATATACTGCATGGTCTTTACAGATATTCATTAAATATTATGAAAGAAAATGAAAACATTTCATCTGGAAAGAAATAACTGCTTCATACTTAGTTAAGATTATTCATATAAATTCAACAAAATACATAACTAGCCAGCTTTTAATTCTGAATACATGTTATGTACAGGGGTTGCTATCTTTTTTTTTTTTGAGACAGAGTCTCACTATGTTGCCCTCAGTAGAGTGCTATGCCATTACAGCTCACAGCAACCTCAAACTCTTGGGCTTAAGCAATTCTTTTGCCTCAGTTCCCCCAAGTAGCTGGGACTACAGGTGCCTGCCACAACGCCCGGCTATTTTTTTGTTGTA